TCGTGTTTTAAAGTGTGATAAAAACCGGTCTTTCTGGGTCATTATGACAAGATAAAGATAATACTTACTTTCGTATTTATGATCGCTGGAAACACATGTTCGTATGCATACATATGGCATTCTTTTGTGCGATGGCAGAAAATGGTTAGAGCAGTCTCGTGGCACTGTGATATTAATGTATCAAAAACAAGCAATCCCACGCAGTGCATTATGGACAAGGCGGCTGCCAGGTGCGTTAATGAACAGTGAAGAAATGCCAGATGTAAGCATACTGAAGGTGTTATCAGTTTTATTTTACGACATCTCCACCCAACAGCTTAATGAATCTTAGTACTTTGTCTTTGGAAATAAAAATGTGTTCCTTTAATACACTCAACGTAAATTATAAGCCGGGAAAGTTCATAAAGCGATTATTGTTTGATGGTCAGAATTCGATTCTGGGTAGGGGCAGAAATTTGATTTCTTGCCACGACGTCCAGACCGGCTCTGGAGCCCGACTCACCACCATTCTCTAGGATAAAACTACCGGAATGCTTTTCCTTTACGTCGTCCGTGGCTTCTAAAGTAGTTACCTTAAATGTCGTCGTAAAAATGGGCCCACTTTGAAACATGGACCATATGGGTATTATATTTAAAACTAAGATTTCAACAATCTTCACCGTTGGCCTGAGTTTAAGATTCCAGCATAATACGTACGTACTGAATAAATTACATTTATACAGAGTGATCATTTTATTGTGAACCCATGGTACAGGATCACACTCGTCACGCTGCAGGCAGCGTCTTCGAACATGCTTCATCGTGCTGGTCATCCTTTCAAACGATCTTTGAGACAACGTACGCGGTGACAGACGACAGATTGTCGAATCTGAACGCCATGTTCATCGTTCTCTTTTACACGAAATTGTTTAAATTTTAAAAGAGGACGAACAAAATGATCACTCTGTACTATGGTTTGTGGTTTAAAGTCGGGGTCAGCTCAGGTCTGAAGGCATATAATTGCAGGACTCGGCAACTCGATCCCATAAACTCTCACATATGACGCACGTATGCCCACAGACCCGTGTTTACTTTATTTAACGGCGAACGGTAACCATATTACAATTCACCTTGAAATGTTGAATGTGTTGGGTGCTATTTTAGTTGTGGATAAGATTCGCCCACATGTGGTAGAATGAAGGTCTGTTCACATGCCACTGACATTATTCGCAAAACTGTTGGCTTGAACACAGGCTGGCGTGACTAGCTTCTGAGGTATACGCTACAATAGCGATACATTTACTGTGAGCCATGGTCTCTGGTTTCTCTGTTCTGATTGGAGACAACAAAGATTGTGATCGTTTTAAATGTCGAAAGATTTGTGTAGGTGTGAAACTTGGTCTCACGTTAAAAAATCAAAGTGTCTGAAGGGTATAAATCACTTGGGAGAGCCAGATGGGGGGATAATATTAATATGAATCAGGATGAAGGTGCTAACTGGACTCGTCGGTCTCATCATAGAGTCTAGTGTCGGTTTCTTGTAAGTATGGTAAATCATATTCTTGTGCCATAAAACGCACGATATTTATTGAACATCTGAGCACATATTAGCTTCTCAGGAAGACTTCTGTTCTATGAAGATTGTTATAAGTTTAATCTAGCCTCTGCGTTGTATGACTCTCGAATCAAACTTTTGTCGATTTCCTTTTTAGCGTGTGATGAATATTTAACAAAATGTATTATAACTAAATGATGTGACATGTCTAAAATATGATAAATTTTGTAACACTGGATTTGTATCGTCAACAAGTCAATGTTTCCAGTGTATAAACGACGCAAATCCCCGCATATACTTCCAAAGTTGTCTGTACTAGTTTGGATGTAGCCTTTTTTTTACGTCTCATTGTGAACCTACTACATTCTGAAGTTGCAGAGGTTCTGCTCGCTACACCTGGTTCTTCTGAAGTGTACCTCCCGGGCTCCCATTGAAATCACTTGTGTGTAGGTGCCATAACACTGGACCACCGACCAGGTCTGCAGAACGCCTCTTATACCGCATCTCGGAGAACGTAACTGACACTGTAGGCAGCCTGCGACTTCTCTAAATTTTTACGAGGTTCGTTCACCCCACCAACAATGATTAAATAATGGGAGGCTGGGCTTAAGTTTTGTAATGAAGAGTTTTATACCTTGCAGCTACAATTGGCCAATTTTATTACGGTGATTAAATCAAAGGGTATATGTAGTGCACATGGGAGACACGGAATCCACTGTCTACACTAATTTCGCCGAATATCTGATCTAGATGTAATTATTAAATAAATATCAGGGTAGCGTTGAAGTTCCAGCGTTATTTCATATGTTCTTATTGTGATATCATTAAATCATTCACTAATGTCAGACAAATTATCTAACGTATTTATGAAGATCAAACATAAATTTATAGTACCATGTCCTATGATACAAATTACACAAAAATTATTTGGTGTTTTTTTTGTTTCCCCTGGAGAACCCTGTAGCAGTTTTCGAAATGCTAAGTCAGTTACGCCCTTTTAATGCCGGTGTTCAACATATGGGCATCACCATGACTCCATAATTCTCACCCACTTGCAGCTGTCTCCCACGGGCTGTGGTTGTGTTGTATATGCGCAGTGTGTTACCATTTTGTTTTATTTCAAATGGATAGGACGTAAGAAAACGTTATATCCGCAGTCTCAAACTGCTCTTGGAGAGCAGAGATGCAATCTGGTTATTCATATAGATTTACGCATGACTGCCAACTTCAGTGGGTATCTTGTTCATTGATGGTACATTTATTGCGTGCTCTCCATTTGATATGAAATAGAGGATTATAATTTGTAACACAACAGTTTAAAACTTGGCCTCTCTCAGAGAATAATGAAGAAAACAAAGTGATGAGAAGAATACTGAGCCTGTGAGAGAGATAACAGGAAAACGCTAAATGCATGTACCAAATGAGTTACGATTTAGACACGCTTTGCCTATGTGCACAGCTAATTCTATCGGCTTATTTTTATCAATGAAAAAACAACAAATGTGGAGGGATGCCATGTTCAGGCAATGGAACACAACCTTCACAAAAAGTTATAATTTAGTCACAACAATTTAGCGACTGAAATTATTCGTGAGATGAAAACAAGTCGAGCATAATTACATTTAATTTCCGGTTTTAGTTTTTAAAATTATGTACGAATCGCCTCAATATATTCATGTACTAGGGTTGCTAAAGACCGCTGATTTATAGCCAAGTCGTGCGTGAAGTATAAGGGAAGGAGAATACGTCAGCATCTTCTACGAAACAGAGAAATTTAACTTTGTATCGAAACTAGTGGTAGAACGTGCATCAAATGTCCCTTACGGAATACTTTGCTCGAAGAAACATTTTCCAGCAATAACATCCCGAATGGATTCATACGATTTTATGACTCTTCAGCTTCTAACTGCTATTTAATGCCAGCAAGATATGCAGACGCCATCTTCATGGCATTGAGTTGCTGGCTGAAACTACGCACCTTTTGATGCCATGTTTATTCTGTTGGCTGTCAAGGCTATATTTATCTTTAATTCTTCAGGTAACCTGAGAGTTTTTATTCAGGCATTAGGAGACAGATGTCCGTATTGTTAGTCTACTTTAGGGTCTATATTGATTCAATCAAGATAATTTAAATGACGCCCCAACATGCAACATAAAGAATGAGAAAAATCAGACCAATTTCAATATTGAGTATTAGAAATTTTGTAGTATTTTTTCAGGTTTCAATAAAACTTTGATTTTGCTTTGTGGTGCCACTGCAGGTATTTGTTACAGTTTCACAAACCTTAACGGCGAAGTCACATAACTGAATACTATCCCGCCTTCGCTCCTTCTACTTCCATTCTATTGATAATACCGAC